TAACACACAAAAAGGGCACCACAAGTTACAAATGAAGCGTTAAAGACAAACAGGTCTTTTGAGTCCACTTTCTCTCCATAGATTTGTCATCTTCAGTTCTGACATAGCTGCACTACAGCTACATAGGACATCTGTGGATCTCTGGAAGTTTCTTTAATTGTCAATTGCATATGCAATATACATCAACTGTGTGCATCTTGAGCTTTGCATGTACATTACAGGTAATAAGCAAGATACACCGATATAATGTGTTATTACCAAGGGCGTCAGTTTGTTTTCAGAATTGCTGGGGACAATAACCATACACTTGAGTGGGGTTTAAAAATTGCTGGGGACAATAAAGTAGGCTAGCACAGGGGTCGGCAATCCGCGGCTCTGGAGCCGCATGCGGCTCTTCCATCCATCTGATGCAACTCTCTGTGCTTGTAAAATAATAAATGGATATTTAAATAAAATGCTTTATATTTTACTGCATTAATTTTACACCTGTATGCCAATTCTAAATGTAAAGATTGTCTGCGTAAACCTGAACAGGTCCAACTCGGTCTGCGGTGGTTGACCGGTCACGCTTGTGCGTAATCATAGGCACTTTATGAGCTGAAGAGGATGTGAGATTCTGGGCTTCTCCTCAGACGGCTCCTGGATGTGTCGCCACATTGGAGCCAGGAACAAGCGCTATTCAGCCAAAGTTTCATCATCAGGGAACATTTTCTAAGTGACAAGTCTCTCTGAGAGACAGGGTTTGGAAAACACTCGCTTCAGTGGGAGGAATCTTCCCGCATGCGCACTGCCTGGTTCTCTGCGTGGCTCTGGGGTTAATCAAGTTTAATTGTTTCTCTTTGCAACAATCTTCACAGGAAGGCAAAACAGTTAAACGGCAGGTTACATATATTTCCATTTGACTGTTTATTTTGACAGATGAACTCAAGGATGTTGCTTGGTTTGAAAAAATTACCCCGACGCACACGGATGCTCATGGATGAGCTGACATTTTGTTAACGCACACGCGGAGGTAAAATATTCCCATCAGAACATCAGAGCTCTTTATACTGGACACTGTGTTCAGCGCGGCTCGGAGCGCCCCCGGTGGACAGTGAGCTGAAGATCTGGGGTTCCAGCGCAGTGCAGAACCACGCGCATGCGATGATTTCCTCCCACTGAAGCGTTCAGGAAACCCGGTCTCTCTGAGGGATGTGTCATTTGGAAAATGTTATTTTTATGAAATTATGAAACTTTGGCTGAACAGCGCTTGTTCCCGTCTTCCGCATGAAGCGTAGAGACATTTGATCACGCACAAAGTTCATGTGGAGCAGAAGCGGTCGGGCCACGGCAGATGAAACGTTCCTAGTGAAACTGTTTAATTGTAACATTAATGTGTTACTGGACACGCTGGTCTGGTTGGTTAGACCAGTGTTTGAAGTGGAAAACACACACACACACTCACTCACTCACTCACTCACTCACTCACTCACTCACTCACTCACTCACTCACACACACACACACACACACACACACACACACACACACACACACACACACACACACACACACACACACACACACACACACACACACACACACACACACACACACCAATTAAAATAATGCTGATAGCGTGGACTAGAAGACAGGTGATGGTTTACGTATTTAAATGATGATCAGGCTGCTGTAAAATGTATTCTCCATCCACATCCAGACACAATTATCCTCTAGTCTTTCTCTAGTCGCTCTGCTCTTGTCTGGGCTGATCAGCTGAAGGTGCGCGCGCGCCTAACTAGCGGCTGATGCACATTTTACGCATTTGGAGAGGTGGACTGGATGCTGTGCGTTTACTGGAAGATGGTCCACTTAACGCACGGGTGTAGACTACATATTAATGACAAATGAATGAAAATTAAATTGTGAGTTTTTACTTCATATTTTAGTAATAAAAATGACGGGGGAACACATTTATGACATCTTTTTAAACGAAATTTTCTAGCGCGACCTGCCTGCTTCACTTAAGTCACTGCTTATTAAGGTCCGTCCAAAATTACCGTGGGAAACGGGTAATAATGGTTCTTTGATGGGAACAGGTTGCCGACCCCTGGATAAGATCTGAGCTGGTAAAACAAAAATCCTCATCAGCAGCAGGCGTTTTTGAAAGTGGGGGGGGGGACACCGCTGCCAATCACAAATTTTGCCGGGGACATGTCCCCGGTGTCCCCGGTTAAACTGACGCCTATGGTTATTACCAGATGTATCTTCTAATGCAGGCTTCATTAGTCCAACACTATTGGATTAAAACCGATAACATGTTTATGCTGTAAAATACTATGAAAATTCAGCATTTCTTAAATATGCTTGAAACTAACCACATTAAATATTTCTTTATTTCTAGAGTTTTGTTCACATTCGTCAGTCTGATTCCTATTGCTGAAATACATTCCCTGCAGAAATATGAGTCACATAAGTTGTTGTGTTGCAGTGTTGTTGCTGCAGTGTTATGAAGTGCTGCTTTACACCTTTTATACTTCTTTTTTAAATGTCAGTCTTAGCATGAACAGCAGCTTTAATCTGGTAAACAATCTTAGTAGAAAAACTGCTTTTAATACCACAGATTTTAATGTGTTGTGACATTTTATTTAACTGTGAATTCATTTGTAACAAATGGCAAATAATTGTTTCAGTAGAAAAGTATTTTAAGTGCTAAGCTAAAATGTTACTGAATAAACTGTGCCATCCAATAATTGTAGACAGTCACATTCCATAATCTTCACTGTTACACAAGCTAACATGTTCCATGTAGGGCAGTATGAAACTAGCAGGGTTAGCATGCTAGGCTAGTAGGCTGACGTGGATCACATATCACCACATTTTTCCATTTTTATGACATCTGTATGGAACAAGGATTGGGATAATATTACATTTAACTTCTACCAAGTTTTGTAACTTGTAACATGCTTTGTAACTGTGACTTTTGTTTTGCAGCATGTAATTCACATTTTGTAACACGTAACTTCAGTATGTAACATGAAACTTTTATTTAGTAACTGGCAGAAAAAAATCAATGTACAAGTTTCAAAACACAACTTTCAAAACATAAATCGTAGTCTACAGTTACAAAACTCAAGTCTACAAGTGCAAAACGTTTTGTCCAAATTCTAGCTTGCTTCCAACAGGAATTGTCTTGGACAGGAATCCAAGACTCTTGATTGGCTGGTCAGATAAAGCCAGTCATTGGTTCTTTGGGAAGGAAGCTAGAATTGGGGCAAAATGTTTTGTATCTGTAGACTTGAGTTTTGTAACTGTAGACTGAAATGTACCCTTTAATTTTCCAGTAGCACATGGCCCCTGCCCACGCTGCTAAAGGTACCAAAGCTGCTTCAGTGACCATAGGGTTGCTGCTCTTGATTAGTCTGAGCTGCAGCCTGTGGAGAGTCAATGGGGTTTTGTCCAAGGACAATGGGGCACCAGACCCTACAGTGCAGATTACCTGAAGGCTGCTAGCTAAGCAGCCTGGGCTTCCATCATATTGCAGCAGAGCCACATGCTGACAGGTCTGGGTTAGCCTTAGCCTTGAAGCCTGAATTTGGGCTTTTCATTTAAGCCATTTTAAAATGACTAGAAATAAAGGCTTTAAATGTTCAATTTGTGTAATAAATCTTTATAATAAAGGAATTTATTTTTCTGAAATAAATGACAGAGAATGTTGGACTTATTCTAATGTGCCTGTGTATTTGTCTTTAGGTGTCATTGGAAACACATTGGGCCATTTTATACTTTTGCCTGAGTCATGTTGAAGCAAGGTGATACATCAGTGATAATTTACACATCAATGCATTTTTCACCACCATTTCTGTTACTGTTCTATAAACATCATCATGAGCCTTTTCATACCTTGAAAATGTCAAGACGGGCCAATGAGAACTTGTTCCTGATTTACAGATATTTGAGAAACAGGATTGGTTGTGACAGACAACAGCCAAAACAGTAACAGAAGTCAAGCTCTGGCTTACAAAATATAATAACTTACTTTTTATTAAATTAAACAACATTTTCTGCATTGTTTCCCTAAAATCTTACATTACGTGTTACCATACCATGTCATATTTATTTGTAAAAGCATAATGGAAAACAATGTGTCAGCTGACCAAAGTGCTGCACAGGGTAAAAACTTCACCTTCATACAGAGAGTGCAAGTCCCAGAAAAACCGGTAAGATAAAAAAATAAATAAATAAATAAAAAAGAACTTTAAGGCTATAAATAACTAAAATGCAGCACAAGAACACACTCATGGGACAAAAGCTAGATGAAAGAAATGGGTCTTTAGGCTAGCTTTGAATTGCACCAGTGAAGGAGACTGGTGCACGGACAGAGGGAGTGCATTCCACAGTTGTGGTGCAGCGTGAGTGAAAGCATGCTGCCCCCGAGCTTTATAGCTCATTTTATTTATTTTTATTTATATTTTTTCCCCGTGTCCTGTCTGGCTGTGAAGCAAACAGAATTGATGTCTGAATGCTGGTGACAAGCCAGAAGGAGAAAAACAAACAAAAGGGACACACAACAATACAACTAGAGATCACTGCACCAATCTGATGAGGAAATATAAAATCAACATTATTTTACTGAACAATCATGATAATAAATTACAGTGCATTTAGTGCCAACCACAGCCTTAAGACATGTGTTGAAAATGCCCAAGTCCATACCTGTGAAGCACTTTGAGTTGCATTTTTTTGTAGGAAAAGTGCTATATAAATAAAGTTCATTTGATTTGATTTGATACTTATGAGAGCATCATGTGAGCACCTGTTTGTGTACACACGCTTGTATATGTAAGGTTTCTCTATAGGAGCGTCCAAAAGTGAGTGTGAGGGACTACAGATCTAGGCTGGCCTGCCCAGAGGCGGAGCTAGCCTAAATGGCGCCCTGTGCGAGAACCCCCTGTGACGCCCCCCCCCCCCCCCCCCCACACACACACACACACCCACCCACCCGGAAAAAAAATTACACCTACAACTTTGTTTGAAATTGCATGGAGTGTATTATATACAACAAAGTTCTTGTATTGCAAGATTTAACCCCCACATACACACTGCACTGAAACTTTTCAAATATATACATTTAGAAACAAATAAAAATAAAAACAGGCAGCAGCAACAAAGGATGTATACAAATAAATACAATTATTACAATTCCAAACGTAATTAAAAACACAAGTCTTGAAAAACAAACAAATGAAAAAAAAAACTAGAGAAACAAAGTTGCAACAATTTGGGCTTTTTAAGCATTGTGTGTTCTTTTGTGGGGTTTTTTGTGTGTGACAGGATTTGATTGGATTAGAGGTGACAGTTGAGTGACTTCAAAAGTGTTGCTTTCTAGCTTTCCTTGAAGCAAATTCGTCAATGATATCATCATATGATATCTCCTCCCCAACTTGGAAGTTAATGCTGATGATGCTGAGGCCAGATAAACGCTCCTGGGACATGGTTGACCTCAGGTAGTTTTTTATTAGCTTAAGTTTTGAAAAGCTCCTCTCTGCTTCAGCCACTGTCATGGGAACTGTAAGTGCAATTCTGAGACCAGTCCAGAGGTTGGGGTAGATCTCGGTGAGATGGTTCTTGTGAAGAAATGTTAAAAGGCCAAGCATGTCCTGTGGTGGCAGGCTGGGGAAATTTTTCATCTCTTTCACAAGTTCTTTTCTGTCCAGGTCAGACTTTCCATTGAACTCCAAAATGGTCCCAAGTGCATCACATTTCTCTGCAAGCTCCTCATCTGAAAGGCTTGGGAAATTTGTCAACACAGCAAATTTCTGTCCCACATCTTCCAGCGTCGTGAATCTCTCAAGAATGGCTGATAAGGCAGCATCCACAGCAACATTGAAGAATGAAACCTCCAGCCTCTTCAGGGCATCACTGATGGGCTCATCAGTGGCTTCATAAGAGTAGTGGCGCTTGGTAGATCTCAACCTTTTCTCTTTCAGCACAACCTCCACATTCATGTCTGCACATGTGTCTCTGGCTATTATCTGAGCAGACTTAAAGCCAGTTTCCCTATACTGCTCAAGACTTCTGTGCGTATTTCTAAGAAGATTGACTGCAACATCCACTGCCATATTTGGTGACTGCACAAGCTTGCTGACATGCTGAATCTGGAAGAGGATGTCATACCAGACTGCTGTGCAGATACTAAATCTGTACGAACCAACCTCCTCTGACAAGGACTGGGCTTCTACCTTTGTTTTTGGTTCCTTGGTAGTTTCTCTTACCTTGATCAGTGCTTCTCGCACTGCAGCTGCCTCGTACCTGAAAGGTTCGATGCTCTTAATTTTACTCTCCCACCTTGTGTCGGACCACATCTTCAAGGTGAGATTCACATGGCTTTTAAGAATAGTCCATCTTTGTGTGGAGGCGGAAAAGAGGTTGTAGATCTTTTGAAGGATGCCAAAGTAGCTCATGGCATCAACTGAATCATTAGCAGCATCTGAAACCACCAAATTTAGAGTGTGTGCTACACAGGGCATAAAAAGAGCTCTGGGGTTTTCTTGTAAGAGCCGAGCTTGTACTCCTTTGTTTTTTCCACGCATGTTGGATCCGTTGTCGTACGACTGCCCTCTGCAGTCCTCAAAAGGAATGTCTAGTTCTTTCAGTTTGTCCAAAGTCATGGAAGCCAAATGACTGCCTGTGGACTCAACTGCCTCAAAAAACCCCAGGAAACATTCTTTCACAAGAGGTGTCGTCTCTTTTACCTCCACAAACCGAATCACAACTGACAGCTGCTCAATGTTGCTGTTGTCAGGAGTGCAGTCAAGGATGATGGAAAAGAACTTTGCCTGCTTTATCTCACTTACTATTGTTGAGATGATCTTGTTGCTCAACAACTCAATCAGCTCATTCTGGATTTGATGACCTAGGTAACTGGTGTGACTGGAGGTTCCTCTTTGAATGCGGTTAATGTGTTCCTTCATGATCGGGTCAAACCTGGCCATAAGTTCAACCTCTTTTAAAAAATTTCCATTTGATCGTGTGAAAAGCGCTTCTGTGTGCCCCCTGAGTGCCAAGTTCCGAACTGCCAGTGACTGCACAATAGCAGTAAGACGTGTCAGTACTGCTCTCCATCTCACCCTCTCATCCTCCAAAAGTGCCATCTCCTTTTTATCAATAGTTTTGCCCTTCATTAACCTAACTGTAAATTCCTTCCAGGTTTTCATACAGTTAATGTGGTCGGGGCTTTTCTCATGTGAGTTCAGTAAAGAACTTGCATGTGTCCAATCTGCCAGTCCCGAGGTGGTTAACTGGATACTTCTTTTTGAAAACAACTTACAACAGAAACAAACAAGGCTATTGTTGCTAACTGAGTACAACATCCAGCTCCTGGCCACCTTCTCACCACTTGTCAAAGTTCTATTGAAATAGTGATGATGACAACATCTGCCATCGCCTTCACTCCTGGGAAATACAAAACTAGTTGGCACCTTAGTAGGTCCTCTTCGAACTAGCTCTGTGCGAACGCTGCCAGTAATTGGTGATGGCCACTTGGCTGGGTCTGACGAAAGAGGCTCATCATCACCTTCAATGGGTTGACTGGTTTCAGGCTTTTCTGCTGACAGAAAACAGAAGCATAACTCAACACATTGCTATGTGGATCATTTCACATATTCTATTAAAATACAATATGTGACATTCAAATTTCTCTAATGTTTGCAGGACACACACACACACACACACACACTTGTGCAAAACTTACTTGACGTATCTTGTTGGGGAGATGTGGCAGCTGGCTGTCCCTCATCAAGTTCACATTGACTGGTAGGTCTCTCTATTGACAGAAAATGGAAGCATAACTCACCACATACTATATGGAACAATTCCCATATTCTGTGAAAATACTATTTAAATGTCTATAGCTAAATGTTTGCTGGACACACACACACACACACGTGCAAAACCCACCTAAAGTATCTTCCTGGGGAGATGTGGTGCCAGCAGACTGTCCCTCCTCAAGTTCAAATACTGGCCTACTGGTGGATGGCTGTTCCTCAGTGGCAGCTGATGTCATCCCAAAATATCTGTGTAGGGCTCCTGATGTTGCATAAAACAAACAATACAATCTTCATGTCACGTCTGTTGCTTAAGCATTTTAATTAACATGTTACAATGAGCATTTACAGTTTTCAGCAGTGGTGGAAAGAATTCTGAAAATCTGTGCTCAAGTACAAGTACTGTTACATTGCTAAAATATTACTCATTTACAAGTAAAAGTACTGGTGTTAGAGAAATACTCAAGTAAAAGTACAAATTATTCATAAAAACCTCAGAGTATTATTTATTTTTAACGGCTGATGTCACCATCACTTCTCCAGACTGGGGCTGCCTGGAAATTGTGTTTTCCTTTACCAAAAGTTAAAACACCAACAATCTATTAATCATTAATAATTGATAAAATACAAAACAAGTGTTTTTCCCTAATTTTTTTTTGTCATTTTAAGTTTGTGTTTCCGGCACACAAAGAACTAAATGACCAGAGGAGCCACGACTATTAATTAAATATCCATGAATCCATTTTAACTGGTTAAATTCTTCAACTCTCCCACGCTGCTTCAAGGTCACTGTGAGTTAACATAGCCGCGGTGTGCTGTGCAGCACACTTAACGCAACACGATGCTGAAAGGCGAGACAGTCTCAACTTTCAGCTAAAAAAAGACCGCTCTAGCTATTATAGTTTTTATGTTATGGCAGTTTACAGTTTAAACGGGATCTTACTAGCAGGGCACCTCCAGCGGCCCGCTGCCGCTCCGTTTTTCGTGGGGTAAATAATACGTAGCTCATTTCCCGAGTCCAAATAGAAAGGCGAATGGCGCCGGCGCGAGACCTGCCGCCCCCGCCCGCCGTCAATGTATTTCAGCGAAATTCTCAAAGACTCATTTTAATTTGATAGCGTTTGGTTATCAGCCTTTCGGTTTTCCCTCTCTTAGCTTTTCATAAGAGCTCATTTGACAAATAAAAAGTTAGCGGTTGGAAGTAGTTCTAAATACATAAGAAGCTAGCAAAAGACATTTGAAGGGATCATCGTAGCACCATGCAAAACGTTCAGATTAGAGAGGTTAGTTAATCAATAAATTGGGGGACAGGCGGGAAAAATACCAACTAAATAATAAAGAGATGCATACCTGCATCTTTTCCTCGTTTCTCCTCCTCTTCTTTTCTTTTTTTCCGAAATTGGGCACCAGATGGCTTCGACCGTTTCTTCTCCATTATGTTTGTTTGTGAGTGGTACCTGTATCCCTCCTGTATCCCTCCACCATCATTCTCCGAGACGAGATCCCTCCGCCCCCCACCTGATGAAGGGCGCTATAGAGCGCACTACAGAGGCGCGGCGGACACAAGGGGGCGCAATAAAATCCCAATATAAATGCAAACAATGACTTTGTTGTGCTTTTATTACAGAAATATTATTATTATCATCACTCAGCACTATTATTATTATGAAGAACATGTGATTTCTATGTTTTGTTGATGTATCGGCTGATCAAAAAAAAAAAAAAAAAAAAAAAAAAAAAAAAGGAAATTCAATGCCGCCCCCTCCAGACTGCCGCCCTGTTCGGCCGCACATGTTGCACATATCAAGCTCCGCCACTGGGCCTGCCAGACTCGTCCTCTGTTTAATTCTGCACAGAGAAAGGGTCTGGTTACTCACAGGCAGAGAGGCACGTGAGGGGCGGGACTAGGCAGCTCAAAAATAACCAATCAAACAAAAGCTGGAAATGCAGACTGTACCACGCAACGTAGCACTTCTACTTGTTGTGGTTTTAAATACATTCAAGTCATTTAGAACAAACCCTAACCCTAACCACAACCAGCAGCCAGCAGAGTCCCAGGAGATATCAGCAGCAGGCCCACAGGCCTCCCACCCCCAAGCCAGCCGAGCCCGGAATCCAGCGACCCGGGACCCGGGGGCCACCAGCCCCGCCGGGGACCCAACAGAGCCCAGGGACTCAGATCCCACCAGCCAGCCACTGGGATCGATCAGACAGATGCCAAAACTCTTTATAGCTCATTTTAGGTACACAAAGGAGTAGCTGATCAGCAGACCTTAGTAATCTGCAGGGGGTGTATGGTGAGAGCAGCTCTGTCAGCTAGAGGGGAGCAACACCATGCAGAGCTTTAAACATTAAAATTTTAAATTGCACCCGGTAGTGCACAGGGAGTCAGTGTAGGTCAGACAGAACAGGTGTGATATGACAGTGTCTGCTCGACTTTGTAAGAAACCTTGCTGCAGCGTTGTGAACTTTCTGCAAGCGGCCGGAGGTGGATGCATTAACACCAATGAGAGCGGAGTTTGCATAATCAAGTCTAGAGGTGATAAATGCATGAATGACAGATTCCAGGTGCTGTTTTTTGACAATATGTTTTACATGGGTTATGCAACGGAGCTGGAAAAAAATGGGATCTAACGGGATCATTAACATGCATAGACATTGGCAGGTCGGCATCTAACTTAACACCAAGATTAGTCACGCAGGTTTTAAGGTTTAGGGTGGATAGATCAAAGGCTACGTTTACACTGCAGGCAAAAGTGCATCAAATCTGCTTTTTTCCCCACATGCGACCTATATCTGATTTTTTTATGACAGTCTGAACGGCACAGATCCAATTTTTTCAAATGCGATCTGTGTCACTTGAATATGTGGTACTGATTTTGAGAAATATCTGATGTTGTTGAAAGCGACTGCAGTCTGAACGGTCATGTCGCGTTAAATTTGTCTCCTACGTCACTGAGGTGAGCGTCGTGTATGGATGCTCCTGAGGAGAAGCGCTGACAGAAGGGTTCAGGAGTCTGTCTGGACAACCTGTTTAAGGTTTAGGAATTAAAAGTACAGGAGAGCATGGAGGGGATGCTGGAGCGAAGCGTTTCCCCGGTCTCTGTGACCGTGAAGGGAAGGGGTCTCCATAAGAGCGGGGGGTTCTCTGTGAATGAATTAATACCAGGACATTTTCGGTGAATAATAATTTAGGAAAATGGCGAGAACAAGGAATAAAATAGTTTACAGTTTTTCAAATAGTTTCCAGCCCAAAACGGAAGAACTAACAGGTGTGATCCTGATTCTAAGGATAAACTGTCAATGAAGGCTTTCACATCTCAACTCCAGCAGGGTATTGCACAACTCCACCACTGCTGATTTCAGCTGAGTGTAACTTCTTTTCTTTTGCGTATGCGGGTCGCTTTGGGGCCGCGGAGCATTCACACTGTTCAGTTTGATGTCGCATTTCAGTTACAGTGTGAACGGCCACACCCAAAAATCAGATTTACTCAAAAAAACGGAATTGAGTATGAAGGCCTGCAGTGTGCGCAATGCATGCCTTTTAGGTTTGTGGCCGACTTGCTCTGAAGTCATGCCTATGTAGGCAACGATAACCTCATGAGACCAAGGCAGCTGCAGATTTTAGAGCAAGACGCTGCAGTTTCTCTCCACTGGCTGCAAAACCTAGGGCATGATGGGAAATGCCTGACTCTCACCTGATCTAAGATCTGATTGGTTTCACATTTTGATCTAAACATCCTGTGGTAGAATGTGAAATGTTAGTTGGTCACATCCATCCATCCATTGTCTGAACAATGGATGGATGGAGGGGGTCTGGTGCCTATCAGGTCAATGGGCAATCAGGCGGGGTACACCCTGGACAGACAGCCAGTCCATCGCAGGGTAACACAGAGTGTCACACCTTAGGAAATTTAGACCTAACAGTCATGTTTTTGGACGGTGGGAGGAAGCCGGAGTACCCGGAGAGAACCCACGCATGCACAGGGAGAACATGCAAACTGCATGCAGAAAGATCCCAGACCTGTTAGCGAACCCAGGACCTTCTCGCTGCAAGGCAACAGCTCCAACCACTGCGTCACTGCGCAGCCTGTAGTTGGTCACATGTATTCTGTAAATCATGTTACATTGATGTAAGGCTGGGCGAAATGGATAAATACTTATATCTCGATATCTTTTTGCTGAATTCCGATTTACGATATATATCTGGATATTTTTCCTCCTGTAAAATATTTACAAGTTAACTCACTTCAAGCTGTCTTGAGAAATTATAAACATAAATCAGTGGATTAAATACATAAAAATGTATTGATTCTTGTCAAACTTTGCCCTTAGTGCCCAATTCTCTGGTACAGATGTCTGTTAACACAAACACACACACACACACACACACACACACACACAGATATGAGAGCTAGACGTGTATCAAATGACCCACAGACACTTTTTAATTATATATTTATAATTAATGTAAAATTATTTTGATTTCATCTAGAGGTGGACCTTATCATTTATTTCTTGTCCAGAGAAAATAAATCTATCATGTTAAGCTAAATGTATGATGATGTAATTGCATCTACTGAAGGTCACATGGGCCATGCACCGTGGAGTTATTAGTTATCAGTGCAAACATGGCTGGAGTCTTAACAGTATTGGCTCATATCATCGATTATACTGTAATGACTCAGAGTCTCTGGTTGCTTTTTTATCAGTATTCTTTTGGGGCTGTTGTCGCCGTAACCCACGCCTTACAAACTCTTAACTTTTTCGAAAGTATCACTCGTAACGGAGTATTTACTAGCCTAGCAAACCAGAGCGGAAAAAACTGGAACCGGAACAACATTTCTCACCCGTTGAGCTCGCCTTCAAAATAAAAACGTTAACCCTATAGTTTAGTATCCAAACCCTTACAATACGTTTGAGGTAATTTGGCCACTCCGGCTATCCGTAGATGTTTCCTGATTACACAGGGGAGGGGTTTAGCTCATCTCCATACGAACAGGATTGATAAACAGAACTCCGTTTGCGTTGAACGTACCCAAATAATTAAAAACCAGGACGCCAAATGTAAAGTTGAGAGCAGCACATTTACCCAGACGCTCTCAGATTGAGCAAACTTGTGAGAGTACACGTAATAACCGCTTAGAGACTTGGCAACATGTCGCTAGCATAGCAATTTGACCAGTTATGTCGATGTAAAGATATAAAGTCATCTTGTATCTTATTTAAAAATTATATTGATATATTAAAAATATCGATCTATCACCCAGCCCTACATTGACGATAACAACTATAGAGGCCATAAAGACAAATGTGATTTGTTTCATAGAGTTTTTCTTGTCACATTTCCTAAAAGCACAAAATCTACAGCTGCTAACTTTTACTTATTATTACAGTCGTGTCTTCATATGCACGTCTACAATATATGATAACCACAAGCATACGATGATGTGTGTTGATAACAGGCACCAGAATTTTACACTAATATAAAGGCTAACACGATATCTTCAGCCATCGTCACCCGCCAGCTACATGTAGGAAAATCTGTCTGACTTAAACGCCAGCTTTTAGCCCCTCCCCCTGCCGCGCCCGTCTGCTCTCGTCTCTTTACCGGGCAAGGCGCTGCTCATCTCAAACAAGGCCAATGTTTCCCTCCAGTTCAGATGACTGACAGATGCAGCAGAAGAAAAAAACCAGGAAACGACCTCACTCCAACAAATCAATGTTTAGTATCGTTACCTGAAGCAGTCCTCTCTCTAAAGCTTTTATGAGGCTGAAAATTAATTCAACAATAATTCTTGAAAGCTTCCATTATTTTATGTTTTTTATTGTTATTATTATTGTTTGGTTATTTGCTTTTGGCTTTAATCAATTTTGAAACCCTAGTTTCACTCCTCAGCTTACAAATCATTTTTGACGATATCAGAGAGCAATTACACATTCTCAACTCAGTGCTCAACCATGTTTGAGTAAATACTTTCACAGAAAGTCTCCCTAATGAGATCAGTATTCTTAATGTAGAGAATAAAGATGTTTTTAAGTTCAGCAGAAGCAGAAAGCAGTTTTCTGAGAGGAGAAAAGACCTAAAGGTCAAAAGACAGAACGATCTTTACACTGATGAGGATTTCACCTCCGCAGAACTTCATTTTAAGGTTATGAGTAATGAGTGTTAGTTTTGATATTAGCAAATGTCTTCTTGTCTTAAAAAGCAAGTGGATTGCTTGTTGAAAAGTTCTCGAGACGTTTCTGTGGAGGAAAGGTCAAAACAGGAATGTTTTAATCAACTAGGGAATTCCATTCATAGATGTGTCTGGCATTCCCACTTAAACATGACGTGTGCTCCAATATGGAAATATGAAACTGTGTACAAATAGATATCAGTACATTTTCTTTGTGCATCTCATTAAACATGGACGTTAGCCGCTGAAACAGAATACCGGCTACCTTCCTTCGAAGTGTTTCTATTTAGATACTAACATGGATAAACATACAGACGTTGGTACCCTTGAAAACAAAAACCACACTGGTCACAGAAGTAACTTAAATCTGACAAAAGTAAAATAAATAAAAATTCTATGAAATTTAACCAATAAAATTTAGACATTGATTTTCAACCATGCTTCAATAGATTTATTTAAAAAAATAAACTCAGGGAACAGGCCTGGACAAAGATACCTTAAGAAAAGACTGAAAGTAATGTGACCAAAGGGACATCAATTC